CGATAATACTCTCCTCCTATTCCCTCCACTTCTCTGGTTTGGAATGTTTGTGTTTTTGTTTGAGGTAACTTGCATATCAATAATTGCTAGTGTGTACCATTCCCCTCCTTTCCTTTCTGTTATGGTCGGTTACAGTTTTTTGTATATACATTTACTTTTAATTGAGTGCTTTTATCAAAGTTTCATTCATAGCCGTTTGTTCCCGGGTCCATCCCGCCCCCTCCGTCGGCCCAGCAGCGGGCCCGGTCTGTCACTTCAAAGCCGAGGGGCGTCGCGCCGCGGCGGACAGAGGAAAGGGCACCGGGCGAGCCCGCGCCGCGTCGCACCGAGCGCTCCCCAGAACTCACCGGGCGCCCCGCGGCGGCCTCCACCGGCGGCAAACCCCCGCCCGCCACCTCGCCCAGCAGCCGAGCCGACCAGCCGTAGGACCTACTTCCCTTCTGGCGACGTACGCCGCTCCCCCGGCGCGACACGTGACGCGAGCCTACTTCCGCCGCGCGCGGCCTCCGGGGACTTGTAGCGCGTCCCCTCCCCCCCACCCCCACTCCTGGAGCTCGCCGGAAGTTGTTGCTGCTGATTTCCGGTTCCTTCCACAGGGGACGTCGCTCGCGGGCAGCCGGGTCGCTGCCGTGGCGGCCGGAAGTAGCGCGGCGGCGGCGGGCGGCAGGCGCAGCCATGCCGCGTTATTACGAGGACAAGCCGGAGGGCGGCGCGTGCGCGGGCGTGAAGGAGGACCTGGGCGCCTGCCTGCTGCAGTCCCACTGTGTGCTCCAGGTAGCGCGCGCGGGCGCCTCGGCGGCTGTCGGCGGGTCGGGGAGGCGGGGTGTCCGGCCGCCCTCGCCGGCGGTCAGCGCACCTGACCGGGTGACGGGTGCTGGGTGCGCACGGCAGCCCCGACGTAATCAGCTTGGACGTGTCCGCTGTGGGAGCCTCGCGTCCCTCCGGTTTTAAATGGGAGATCACGACGCCGCCCCGTTGGATTTTTGTGAAGATTAAACCGTTTCGGTTAAATAAACATTGATTGAATGCTGCCTTTTCCACATACAGAGGGCAGTCGGTGGTGTGCAACTGGAGATACAGTTTCAGAAAGTTGCTGTTATTTGAGAGAGAACTATCCCCAAATGGTCCTGACCACAAGGCTGTGTCGGTGCTTCTGCTGGTCATGGTTTCCGTTTGCTTTCCTAGTTTCAGCAGCCGGCCGGCTGTAGGGCTGAGGGGTTATGGACCGGAGAGGGTACCTAGCCCAGCTTCCCGGTGCCCGCGAGGCCCGCGAGGACACGGGGGCCCCGCCCTCGCCCCCGCCGGCGGCGTCCGGGCTGCGCCTCCCGTGCAAACGCCCCTTCAGCCCCTGAAATGCCCGCGCAGCGGCTGCAGGACGCCGGGCACAGCCTGGTCTGAAGGGAAGGACAGGCGTGTGAGGAGCCAGATTCCTGCGCTAAACGCCGTGTGGGCACTGACGTAATGAGTAGCTTTAGGAGCAAAATTCCTTGGGAGCCCAGCGCAGAGCGCCGTATTTTATCAGAGAATTTGGAAGTTTCTCACGGAGGAGGTGGCCTTCGGCCCGAGTCCTAAGGGTTGAGTGGTCGTTTGTGAAGGAAAGGAGTGGGGACTGTGGTTATGGGGGAGCCTGGGAGAGCAGCCCGTGCGGGCAGGGAGCTGCGGGGGTGCCCGGGGACAGGACGGGGCGGTGCGGGAGGACTCGGGGCCAGCGAGGAGCTTGAGTTTCATCCTGACATCCAGCGTCAAGAAGGCCCAGGAGATGAGCAGTCAGCCCAGGAAGTGGATTACTGGTAGCAAAGGGAAAACCAAGCTGGTGTTTTTTTTTGTTTTGTTTTGTTTTGTTTTTGGTTGAGAACATCATGTACTTCTTTTTTCTTTTTTAAAAAAATATATTTTATTGATTTTTTTACAGAGAGGAAGGGAGAGGGATAAAGAGTTGAAACATCGATGAGAGAGAAACATCGACCAGCTGCCTCCTGCACACCCCCTACTGGGGATGTGCCCGCAACCCAGGTACATGCCCTTGACCGGAATCGAACCTGGGACCCTTCAGTCCGCAGGCCAACGCTCTATCCACTGAGCCAAACCGGTCAGTGCCAAGTTGGGTGTTTTTGCAGTGACTGAATTTATTTAGCAAACTTTTGAGTGCCACGCTCCAGTTCAGGGGGCGTCGGGATGAATGGGACAGTTCTCTCCTGTGTGGAAACGGCACCTCTGGAAAATGAGAAAGCTGCAGGCAGAGAGCGGGGCCAGGACGGGGCACAGGCTGTCCGGCCCCCTGTTGGTAGTGGCCTTATTGGTGCTGAACTGGGTCACCGAGGAGAACCGGATGCTCATATGCAGCCCCGTAAAGGGAAGGGCATTTACAGTTTGTGGTAAATTCATCCTGAGCGGTGACTCCAGCGTGTTTTGCAGATCCAGGACAGTAGTCTGTCTTTGGTGGTTTGGGAGAGTGGTTGCAGTGGTGGGATTGGGGTGTCAAATCTGCCTGAGGGGAAATCTCTGATTACGCAGAGCAGGTGAAATTTGGGTTAATTTTTCCTGATGCATGAATGCACCAGGTGATTCTATTTAAGTAGTAAGTACTCCCTCTTACTTCATTAACATCTATCTAAAGTGTTTCGTAACAACACTAACATTGTTCTGATTTTAGAGCACCTTAATTCTGGCTGTTTGAGCTTTTAAAAAATAACACCGAACCGGGTCATTTTTATCCTCAAAATTGCTTGACTCATTTTACATTGGAACTCACTTTGAGTAAGAAGATATAGTGATCTTCCTTTATATTGCCAAGCACTGCATAAGGCTGTTTATAAGCACTATATGTTCTACTTTTATTAATATTTCTTTAATAGTAAAATAATGTAAGGTTTTGATTTTTTCCCTCATGAATTGCAAATCATAGCTTGATGTCATTAAACCTCACATAATTCAAAAAATTCAAGTTCAGTCTACCTTTTCCAGATGTTTTATATATTTACTAGAGGCCTGGTGCACGAAATTCATGCACTGGGGTGGGGGGTGTTATCCCTCAGCTCGGCCTGCACCCTCTCGAAGTCCGGGAGCCCTCGGGGGATGTCCGACTGCCATGGAGGCGCGAGAGGCTCCCGCCACTGCCACTGTGCTCACCAGCCTTGAGCCCAGCTTCTGGCTGAGCAGCGCTCCCCCTGTGGAAGCACACTGACCACCAGGGGGCAGCTCCTGTGTTGAGCGTCTGCCCCCTGGTGGTCAGTGTGCATCATAGCAACCGGTGGTTCTGCTGTTCGGTTGATTGGCATATTAGCCTTTTATTATATAGGATATTCCTGGGGAACTGAACCCCTCTGCAGGCACTTCCCCTGCTTTGTGATGTGCTCACACTGCCAGATAGCCTTTGAGTGTGTACATCTCTTCTACCTGGGATTATTGTATAGGCAGGAATTTCTAGCATTCATTTTTTAACTTCCCACAGACTTTTTTTTTTTTTTTTTACTAAATTAGTCCTTGATGAGGGTTTAGTTACTAGACAAATTAGTAGGATAGGGCATTCAAAAAGAAATTTTGCTGCAATTAAATTTTAATCTTGCCTTTTTGAATTGTGAAATGTGTCCAATATATTTAAGTACCTTTGTGTTAAGTTAATTTACAGCAGATTTATTTAAAATATTTTAAGATAATGTAGAGGTAGTAGTAGGATTTTTATTCCATGCTTATCTTAAAAGAAAAATACTACTCACCTAGTTTGCAGTTGTTACCTTGTCAAAGCGGATTTTTAATAGTTATAGCTTGAAAAAAATGTCTTTTTATTAAGAGTCAGAAGTAAGCATTTCTCTTGTGAACATTCTTGTAACAGCATCATGTCTTTGGCAAAAAGGGAATGATGACTTAACCCAGTTTTCTTTGTAACCTCCTTTGGAGCTTTCACTGTTTAAAGAGGAGTTAGTTCCACATCAGGCTTAGGCAGATCTTCTCACAAGTACATGTCAATTCTGCTCATAGCTCCCTTTCCTCTTCCAATTCTTACTCAGTTGAGCTTCTCAGAATAGAGAACTTGGCTGTGGGGGGCAGGAGGCGGGAAAATGCAGAGATGTGTTGGTGGCATCAAAAATTGCTCGCATCAAAAAGATGCAAGTGGAGACTTTAAAGCCGCTTGATACTACCTTCCAGAACAAGCCCTCCCATTCACCAGATGCCTGATCTATGTGTCTTCTCTCTCTCGCGCTCTCTCTCTCTCTCTCACACACACACACACACACACACACACACACAACTTGTCTTAGTTCTTGTCTTAGTTTTAAGAACAATGAAGAAACCATTACTCCTTTCACTTTTACTCTTTCCTTTTCTTATCCATAAGGAGCTGGAGATACCAGTTTCTAGATTTTTATATAAACATTTAAAAGAAAAGTATCCTGTGGAAACCAGTGTTTTCAAGACCTCAAGAGCCCCCCTAAGTGCCCAGAATTAGTTTACACACTTTTTTTTTTAAAATTCTGGCCTTTTCTCCTTTAAGTAACAATAGTCAAAATGAATTATGAACTATCTCTTACATAAATTACTATTTTCCTCATTTGCTTTTTAAAAAACTGTTTTCAGAAGGGCCATTATGTAGTTTCTGAGAAAATTTCCAGGTACTTATATTGTTTTATTTGTCATAGGAAGGAAAATCCCCTCGGCAATGTCTGAAGGAAGGAAACTGCAGAGCTTTGAAAAATTCATTTTTTGAATGTAAAAGATCAATGGTAAGAAAAGATCCTTAAAAGCTTACGTTAAACACTAGCTATGTAGAATTAAATATGTGAGTGACTTGTAATTAATAGGTGGTAGTGAAGTTATCTGTAACTTGAGGGAGATAATGTTAGGTAGCTTCATGAAAACCCATAGCTGACTATTATTCTGCCACTACGCTAACCATAGCTGCTGACCTTTGTGAATTTCTGAAGATGAAAATGAAGTCTTGGCAAGTATAATTTAAAGTAGTAATTCACTATTAGTCCTCCAAGAAAAGACTAATGTCACACTTAACTAATGCAACTTCAGTTATACATGTTTGGCAAAAACCTAAAACAATTTAAATTGTGCTGGTAATTTTACTTAGTATTTCAAACAGTGAGCGTAGGACTCAGACCGAAGGTTAGATGGGAAGTTTGAATTATCTTTCGCTCATAGTACAAAGCATCTCATCATCCTGATTATGATTCCCATGTTTAAAAATTAGTCATTTTTTGAAAATATGGCTCAGCTTCATGTAGTGATCAGATGAAGAAATGGCTGTCTGTCCCACATTGGTTATGTTGGACTCATTAATAGGGTTTATCTGTAAAATAATTACTTCCTGTAGAATTTCTAGGGAGTGATATTGACAGCCTATGCAAATTTCCCTTATATACTCTTCACCTTCCTCCTCCCCCCTACGAGGCTAGACTGAGAGGCTTAATCCTGTCTGTCATCAAATGAGTAGGTAACGAAGGATTTTTAATCCCCAAATGGCTATGTATCACTTGGAGTGCGGGAAACGAGTTAAGTCGGCTCGCGTGAATTGCTCGTACTCCGCGGGAGCCGTCTTTAACTCGGTTCATATAGATTTGTGGTGGAGTGCGGGAAACGTGTAAACTCGGGCCGATTGTAACTGAGTATTACCAAATATTTGTTTGTAATCCACCCTTTTGGTGGATGGAACAAAACCAAAAGACAGAGCCATCTTATATTTTGGCGGGAAATTCACCCGCACTCCAAGTGGTATTACTTACCATTTTTCAAGGCTCGTTCTTTTTTCAGTTGCTATTTAAAGATTTCAGATACATTTGAGTATTAACCTAAACAAAACTTAAGTCGAAAATAGTTTGCTAGAACAACATATATTGAATTTAATTCAGAGAAAAAGATCAATGTAATTTATAGTAAACTTGAGAAGAAAATCCTTAAATGGATTTTTTAAGAAAAACCTTAAATGGAACTTGTTTTTAATGCCATCTTTAATATTGTGGGTTCTTTGTGGGGTTTTATGGTAGTTCTAACAATTGCCTTAAAAAAAAAATTCTAGTCTTTGTTTTCTGTTTCTCCTTCATTCTGCTATCTAGGTTTAATTTTTTCTTTTTCTAAAGCTTTAAGATAAACACTTAGCTCACTTATTTTTCAGTCTTTTTGCATATATGCATTTATATTAAACTAGAGGCCCGATGCATGAAATTCATGCAAGAGTAGGTCTTCCTTTCCCCAGTAGCCAGCACCAGCTTCCCTCTGGCACCTGGGACCCGGGCTTCCCTCCAGCCGCTGGCAGGCACCCGGAACCCGAGCTTCCCTTGTAGCCCAGCTTTGTCTGGAAGGTTGTCCAGAAGGACATCCAGTCTAATTAGCATATTACACTTTTATTATTATAGATGTCCAGAATAGACAAATCTACAGCAACAAAGATTAATAGTTGTTAGTGCAGGTGAAGGGGGAAGAAGGATTAGGAAAGAATGGGAAGTGATTTCTGTGATGGTTGAGTATGCTAAAAACTTTTGAATTGTACATTTAAAATGAATCTGTTGTATTGTTGGCAGGAAATGGCACCAGGCGTTAGAGCAGTGGAGTTAAGCAACCTTGGTACACGAGTTCTGGCTAAGAAAGAATTCAGATGCAAGACTCAAATTATAAGAGAGTTTATTTAGAAAGTCACAGAGCTAGAAGTGAGCCATAGAAGGAATGGGCTCAGGAAAGGAGTTATAGAGGCAAAAGGACTCTTGGTTCATAGGAGAAAGAGAGAGGCCAGGAAAATGCCTGGGGGAAGGGGGTGGGGAAAGGCGCAGGCTGCTCCATAGAAAGAGCTTTGACAATTGTCTTCTTAATTGTGCTAAAAACGGGCTTACTTCTTTCCAGTAGTGATGCCCCTTAGCAAACTTGTATTTAATTATGTTGTACAAAATTTGATTTAATTGTACATTTATTTTCAGTTGGATGCCAGATCAAGATTCAGAGGAAGAAAAGGATATTGATAACTATTATGTTGAAACCAAGATGAATACAACAAGGATTTCCTCTGGTCATTAAAACACAGAAACCAAAGTTGGAAACATATTTTTTCCTACACCTGTTTGGTTGGACCTGGAGCCCTGGAGAGAATGCATGATTTCTGTTTTTTAATATCTATAAATAATTTTATTTTTCTGAGTTATTTTTAGAAGAAAAATGTAATTGACCAGTTATGAGCAAGGGAGCATAATAAATGCGTTTTAAAAATGGTTTTAAAACAATTTTAAAACCAGTTTTCTCAGTGGTTAGAGTGTCTGCCCGCAGACCAAAGGACCATGGGTTTGATCTTGGTCAAGGGGATGTACCTGGAAGGGGCACAGGTGGGAGGCAACCACTTGATGTGTGTGTGTCTCTCCCTCTCTTTCTCTCCCCGCACCTCTCCCTCCCTTCTAGTCTCTGATAAGCAATGGAAAAAATATCCTCAGGTGAGGATTAACCAAAAATAAAAAAAGGAATTGTTTTAAAGCACAAAGATAGTTATTTTCAAACATGATTCAACCAAATGACACACTTTGTACATCCTTTGTGAATATTCTGAAAGCCACTGTTGGAACTGTTAAAATCAATAACATGGAGCCTGGGAGAAAATGTCTATTGGGAAAGTTTAGGATAAAACTGTCTTTTATTTAATCTGTCTTGTTTAGTTATAAGTTGTGTTTGATTTCTTGGAGAAGAAATGCTTCATTTGCACTGATTCACTGACTTAACAGCTTCATAACTTTAACATGATGCACCAGACGTAGCTGGATTCTGTAGCCTGGGCTCTCCCTCCTTCACTGGACTGTTTTTGTTTTCCTGGCTTCATTTGCAGGCTGGCCCCCTCTACATAATGGGAAAGAGGTTAGTGTCAACCAGAAGCACACATCCTTAATATCCATGATCCAAAAAGAAGAGAGAAAACTTCCTTTCTTAGGGGCCACTAGTCAAATTCCACGAAAGGACTATTGCCTTCCCTGGGTCACCTGCCCTTGAATTAGACCAGTCCCTGTGGGAAAAGGAATAGGGCCATGATGTTGGCCAGGCCTGGGTCTCATAATTCCCATGAGAATCACATTGGATGAGTGACGGGCCTCATCCCAAAAGAAAAGGATTCTGCACAAACAAAAAAGATGAGTTCACTATGGAAAGCAAAAGTGGAAACATGAAATGCTTGAAAAAGTTTACAATCAGTGATTTTATTCTGGTCACTTAATACAGTACAGAACTGTACTACATAGTAAAGTTTTCAACTTTATTTTCATTGTTGAAGAAAAATGAACCACATCTTCATAACATCCACAGGTCATCAGAGTTTAAGCAGTCAAGGTATTCTATAGCTTGTTTTCTTTTGCAAATGTTCACCTAAAGCGAGAATCCTTTTTGCAGAATCCCAGAGGTCTATTGTATGTACTACTTTCACTGAGAAAGGGAAAATGCTGGATTTTTTCAATTCTTGTATAACTAAGTGCTACAACTTTTATTAAAAGGAACGTTGATAAAATTATGTAATAGTTTCATTGAGAGCTTCATTTGGAGAAATTCACATGTTATGAAATTTACCTTTGCCCTGCCAGTGTGGCTGAGTTGGTTGGGTGTGATCCCTTGCACCAAAAGGTTGAAAGGTTGCTGGTTCAATTCCTAGTCAGGGCACATGCCGGGGTTGCAGGTTCAATCCCCGGTAGGTATGTGCAGGAGACAGCTGATTAATGATGTGCTCTCACATCGATGTTTCTCTCTCCCTCTCCCTCTCAAAAATAAAAAATCAACTATTTTAAAAAATATTACCCTTGAAGTATATACAATTCAGTTTTTTGTTTTTGTTTTGTCATAGAGTTGTGTAACCATTACCACTAATTCCAGAACATTTGGGGTTTCTCTCCAAAAAGAAACCCTATACCCATTCCCCACTTTCCCCCCACTTCCAATAACCATTAATAACTGTGTCTATAGATTTGCCTGTATGGAATTATATGTGGCCTTTTTTGACTGGCTGCTTTCACACAGTATTTTCAAGGCTGTAGCATTTATTTGTACTTCACTACTTTTCACTGCAGAATAATATTCCATAGTATAGACATTCCACATTTTATTTATCCATGAGTTGATGGACTTTAGATTGTTTGCACTTTGGGGCTATTATGACTAATGCTATGAACATTCATGAACAGGTTTTACATGGACACATTTCATTTCTTCAGGGTATATAGCAGGTCCTAGAAGAATGTCTATTTGTTCATTGGTGTTTTGTTAGAACATCGATGAGATGTTGTAGAAACTTAACTCTTATATCAATTAGCCTGTAGTAACATTGGTTTCATTGTATATTGTTTCACTTAAAGTCCAGAACCTATGGATGATGTTAAGTAAGGACTTACTGTATACCTAAGGATGGTATTACTGTGCGATGTAACAATGTTTTGATGAACTGCCAAACTTTCTTATAGTGGCTACACCAAGAAAGTATGAGGATTTCAGTTTCTCCACACCATCAACAGTTATTATTTTTCAACTATTTGATTATAGACATTCTACCAGGTTTGAAGTGGCATCTAATTGGGATTTTGATTGGCATTTCCCTAATGGTTAATGATGTTGAGCATGTTTTCATGTGCTTATTGGCCACTTGTATATATAGAGAACTGTCCATTTTTTAAGTTATCTTTTTATTGTTGAGTTGTAAGAGTTCTTTATATATTATATATACAAGTTCCTTAAAGACGAATGGTAAATTTTTTCTCCCAATTTGTGTTTTGTCTTCACTTTTTTGATGCTGTCTTTTGAAGCACAATTTTCAATTTTGATGAATTCCAATTTATCCGTTTTTCTTTTGGTGTATCTAAGAAAACCAATGCCTAATCCAAGCTTACGGAAATTTATTCCTGTTTTCATCTAAGAGTTTTATAGTTTTAGCTTATGTATAGCTCTATAATCCATTTAAAAATAATTTCTGATACTTCTGTTAGTAACTATATAGTTGTCATAAAATACACAATGTAAAATTTATCATCTTAACCATTTTTAAGTATGTAGTTCAGTAGTGTTAAGTATACTCACCTTATTATGCAACCAATCTCCAGAACTTTTTTCATCTTACAGAACTGAAATTTTATACCCATTTTATACAACTCCCCATCACCTTTTCTCTCCACCCCGTGGCAGCCACCATCTGCTGATGGTGAGCACCATTTCATCATTTAATGTTTTTGTTGACCATTTGTAAATCTTTGGAGAAATGTCTACTCAAGTTTTTTTGCCCAGTTCTTAATAGGGTTGTTGGTTCTTTTGTTGTGGAGTTCCAGGAGTTCTTTGTATATTCTAGATATCAGTCCTTTTCCAGATAGATGATTTGCATATATTTTCTCCCATTTCTTTTCACTCCGTTGGTTGTATTTGATGCATAGTTTTAAATTCAATGTAGTCCAGTTTGTTTTTACTTTTGTAGCCTGTGCTTTTGGTGTCATAGCCAAGAAATCATTGCCCAATCTAATTAAGCTCTTCCCTTACATTTTATTATATTAGTTTCAGTTCTTATGTTTAGGTCTTTGATCTAGTTTGAGTTGCTTTTTGTATACAAATGGTGTAAGGTCTAATTTCATCCTTTTGCATATGATACCCAGTTTTCCCCAACATCATTTGTTGAAAAGACTGTCCTTTCCGCTCTGAATGGTCTTGGCACTGTTGTTGAAGATCATTTGTCTGTATATGCCAGGGTTTATTTCTGGCTTATGTCTGTCTTTATGCCATAACCACACTGTTTTGATTACTGTAGCTTTGTAAGTTTTGAAATCAGAAAGTATAAGACCTCCAACTTTGATATTTTTTCAAGTTGTTTTTGCTATTCAGAGCCCCTAGAGATTCCATATGAATTTTAGGATGGATTTTTCTGTTTCTGCAGAAAACACCATTTGAATTTTGATAGGGATTATATTGAACCTGTATATCACTTTGGAGAATATCGGCATTTTAACAATGTGAAGTGTGCTAATCCATTTACATAGGAGGACTTTACATCTATTGGTATTTTCTTTAATTTCTTTTAGCAACATTAGGTTTATTTCTAAGTATCTCATTCTTTTTTATGTGATTGCAAATGGAATTGATTTCTTAATTTTCTTTTTAGGTTTGGATGATGGGTTAAGTTTTTATAATTTTATCGGGAAATATAGTAGACATACAGAAAAATACACCAGACATTTGTATAATGTTAACTAATAACTATAAATCATCATGTTACTACCATCCAGGGAAACAGACATTGAATGAACCCCCTGTAATCCTGACTTTCCTCTGAGGCCCTCCTGCTCACCCCCAAGAGAAAAACCACTGTTCTGGTGTTTGCCAGACTCTGCTCATAAGTTTTTCTTCTTCCTTGAGCTTGTTGCATTTGGCTTCTTGTGAGGTGTTAGAATACAGTCGTCTCCCCTTATCCGTGAGGTGCCTTGAACTGTGGATAGTACTGAGTCCTATATATACTATGTTTTTTCTTACACATACATACCTGTGATAAATTTATAAATTAGGCAAAGTAAGAGATCAATAACTAAATAACTGAACTGGGACAATTATAACAATATACTGTAATAAAAGTTATGTGCCTGCGGTCTCTAAATATCTTACTGTACTGTACTTACCCTTCTTGTAACCTGTTGATCTCAGAAAATGAAACCTGGATGGGGGGTACTACTGTAACAGGTTACAGCACTACACCAGAGAAAAGCAACATGATCTAGTGCTGAAATAGGAATTATTTTAATTGAACACCAAAGAAAATTCATTCACCCATCTATTCATTCCATAAACCTTTTTGAGTAGATCCTTTGCAACAGTCATTACATTTGCTGTTTTGGACACAGAGTAACATGCTGGACAAAATTAAAGGTAAGTTAGCATGAGGGATAGGATATACATGATATAATGGTCATATATATTGAAAATTGTATGAGGGAAAGTATTTTCCTAAAAGGGCCACTCATTCTGTGGAGAGAAATCGCCACAGAGAAAGGCCTTGGAGAAATGAGAAGGCTGAGTGATGGTGGTCCATATCAGAGAGAACGTGGACATGCACCTGGGCTGTGTGCATGGAATTATGGGTGGGTTGAAGGGATACAGATCTTAGTGGCTGCTGGGATGTGTTGGGCAAGGGAGAAGATGACCCCAGGGTGGAAGGCGGGGTCATTTATCAGGAAGGCTCAGCCTGTGTGGAGGAGGATGCAGAAGTTTGGTGTTGACAGACTGTTGGAGACACTCATGTACAATAGGATGTGTTTGGATCTGGACTTAGGCTCAGGTAGACCTAGAAATTTGGGAGTCATGAGCAAATAATTGGTCATATATTCCATAGGAATAGATAAGGCTTTTTAAGAAAAGCATTCAGGTGAGAAGAAAGTTAAGGACAGAAACCTAGGGAATACCGTAATGTTAGTGGTGGGTGGAGGATGACAAGCAAATCAGTGAGGAGGGATGGTAAGCGGTAGGACCACCAGGAGGGAGGCACAGAGCCAAGGGATGGCGAGTGCAGGGAGCAGGAAGCCATGGAATGCTGTTTCTACATCCATCTCACTGATAGAGATGTCTTGCCCTAGCCAGTTGGTGGATAGAGCGTCAGCCGGTGGACCAAAGGGTCCCAGGTTCGATTCCAGTCAAGGGCACATACCTCGGTTGCAGGCTCCTCCCTGGCCTGGGCCCTGGTTGGGGCTTGTGCAGGAGGCAACCAATCGATGTGTTTCTCTCACATTGATGTTTCTCTCTGTCTTTCCCGCTCTCTTCCACTCTCTCTAAAAATCAATGGAAAAATATCCTCAGGCGAGGATTAACCAAAAAAAAAAAAAAAAAAAAGTCTTGTTCCTCACTGTGGAAGTTCTCACTGTCTCAGCTTTCTTTCCCTTTCTGTTACATGATACAACAGTGTGTCAGCACCATGAGGTCTGTATTTGAATGCAGACCTGCCAAAAAGGCCCCTTGGGAACCTGTGCAGGAAGGAATCCTGGCAAAGATAGTGCTGAGGCACAAAGGGAGTCGAGGGGAAGTTTGCAGTGTGACTATCCTGTACCTCCACACTTGGGATTCTGTGTCACAGCTTGGGTAGTGATAGCTGTCATAACAATAAGGCAGAGTTACTGCCCATTTGCCAAATCTTAGCAGAGGATGGGAGGGGCGTTCTACCCACAGACAGGGACGGGTACGCCAGCTCACCTTCAGTGAAGCCAGGACTTGTTTTCAAAACAAGCATCAAAAAGAAAAAGGTATGTTCGACCACATACAAGTTTAAAACTTCTCAATCCCCATATCGTAAAGCTAAAAGACAACTGACAAATTGGTTTTAAAACTTGGCAACATATGACAGATTGATATGCAGTATTGTATATTACAAACAATCCATAAAAACGACCACCGCTCCAATGAAGTCACAAAGTAGAAATATAAATAAAAGTATCGATGATGTTCAGTTTTCACAGTAATCAAAGACACTGAACTTGAAACAAGATGCCATTTTTAACATCAGTAATAATAAAAGGAAAAGGCACATGCTACAGGTGGGAAGCCTAACTTTCTGGGAATAATACAGGCAAACCTCATTTTATTGGGCTTCGCAGATACTGTGTTTTTACAAATTGAAGGCAAGACCTTCCACCAGCAAAAAGATTATGACTTGCTGAAGGCCCAGATGATGGTCAGCATTTTTAAATAATAAAGTAATTTTTAATTAAGGTAAATACATTGGTTTTTTTAGACATAATGCTATTGCACACTTAATGGATTACAGTAGAGTGTGCATATTTATATACAGTGGTAAACCATAACATTAGTGTGACATGCTTGTGATAGTCACTTTATTGTGGTGGTCTGGGACCCAAACCGCAATACCTCCGAGGTATGCCTGTATGAAAAATTCAAAAATTTAAAAACATTTACACTGCCCTTTAATTGTACATTTCTACTGTCAGGAATTTATCCAAGGGAAGTCACTGGAGACATGTGTCTAAAAAAAGGTACAAGATGTAATCTGGTTATAAGGAACAATCAAACCATTAATGAAACATCTTAGCAAGTGATGCAGCAGATCACCAGGCACCCAGAGAAGATGTGACCCATATCAACGGACGTGGCCAGGAACATCTAACATGTACTCAGCCACGGCGCCTCACAACTGGGCGCCTCACAACTGCCTTGTGAAGAACGGACTGTTGTATCCATACTTTCCACATGAGGAAACAGAGCCTCAGGGCAGGCAACTTGCTCAGTCACCAGCCAAGGAGTGACAACAGGATTGGTACCTGGGGCTGTGTGAAGTGGACGTCCATGCTCTTAGTCCCACCCTCCTATACCCCTTCACTTCCAATTGGGTGAAAACGGTCATAAAACAAGTCTCTCATGGGCCCGTTTACAAACACCGAAGCACGCAATGCAACGCCCACTAATAATCGTCCAGTCAGATGCCGGCCAGAGAACCCGTCCTCCTAATGCAACAGAATGAGCCAGGCAAGACCAAGTTTAATGTTCTCGTCAGTTATTTATTATCCTTCTAAAGACTAGCACATTTATAGCATACATGGCTTTGAATGAGCTAAGAATATATAAAACGGTACATGTTCATATATAGTAATACTGGCCAAAACAAATAAATAAAGGTACTTCAGTGCACGAAGCTTGGCAAATACAACTGCAGGGACGAAACTGTACTGCACGGTACTTGTGTGTTTCAGAGGGAACCAAAGGCAGCTGCTGAGGTGCTCTGACAGCCACAGCGCCAGGTCTTCAGGCCTCCATGCTCGTTCAGTGGCCGAGAAGGAACACTGGGCGGGACCTCTACTTTGTGGTGCCAGAAGACTGCCTTCCTTGTGCACCTGGAAACTCAAAGCTCCTTCGCGTCCCAGGCACTGCCAGCACCATGACAACTGGCCTTGCTCAGCGAGCGAGCGTGGTAAGTGCGCGGCAGGTGCCCTGGGAGGCTGGCCGCACGGGAGCCGCAGGGCTCAGATGGGATTCTGGAGCCTGAGCGTTTCCTACACGATTAGCCAAGTCTTAGAGTTTTATGATGTGCATAATATGAAGCCAAAATTGGAAAATAATTCACAAAAAAGGTGCCCCATGCAAAACTGCTAACAGTTGATTCAACATCTGCTATATTCCCTTTTGATAAATGCAGGTATTTAATGCTCTTCAAACAATAACAAAAATATGGGTGGCATTTAATTTAAGAAGACAAGGGAATATTTTAAAAAGTAGTGATGATAAAATAAAAAAAGATGAAAATATAAAAGATACTAGAAAAATTACAAAATGGGTGAAGCGGTGAGAGGTGAAAGGCTGAGTCAGCCATATTGGAAACTGAACAGGGATGGGCCCAGAGAACCTGCCCCGGTCCCACCTCTGCAGGGGGCGTGGTGGACACGGGTTTCTCTGACAGCGACGTGAGCTGCAGCCGTCCCTCATGGACGCGTCCTCCACACCAGGCCCCATGCAACCCGTGGGAACGGCCCCTCCGTGGGCCTCAGGAGACGGCAAGCGCTGCCTGCGCACTGGCTTCCGTGTGGGCAGGGATCTGGAAGGCCATCGAGTGGCACCCTCCCTGCTGCTCCCCCCTGTGTCCTGCCATGGGCAGTCTTGCCTGTGCCTCAGCTCCCCAGGCCCAAGTTTGTTACATGTTTCCAAGTGGCATTTCTAAAGGAGCATGAAGAATAGTTCCCAGAATCTTAGACACAGGGATTTCCTAAGGGTGCACCAATCATTAGGATCAACATCTTCAATGTGCCACATATATTTCTTTTACAGCCTTTTAAATAACATATGAACATAATTATCACAATAAACAATTGATAAAACATATAAACTGAGGAAAAAACTCTGCTATGTGCAGATAAGACTCATCATCTTATAATAGATGACCAGACATCATTTTCTATGAAATCCCTGTTTTATGGCCCATTAATCCTTATAATAGATGACCAGACATCATTTTCTATGAAATCCCTGTTTTATGGCCCATTAATCCCTTTCAACATCTCATTTTCAGAGCTAATTTCAACTTTCTCAATAGTCACCTTACATAACAGAATGAGAAGATAGTAACAATTATTGCAAACTTAAAAGACACTTTCATCAGACCTTCAAACATGATTGTATTGATTTTTAGAAGACAATTGGGAAACCCACAAAAGGAAGTCTGTTCTGAAAAGATTTAGGCTTCCACTGTCTACACATAAATCCTCACTGCCGAGAGGTCCTGGGGCGCCCGGGAAGGGGGTCTGCACCCGGGCAGGGTGGGGCCAGGGTGCAGGTTGAGAGGACAGGCAGGCAGCGGGCTTCCTGTTCCCCAGCACACACCGTTCCAGAACTCAAAGGAACAGAGTGGCCCCCACTGTGTGAGCGGCTCTGCAGGGGTTACCTTCCCATAAAGTCTGTCTGGGCTGTTTCTCAGCCTGCGGCTCTGGCCCCGCCTGTGCCCTCACAGGATAATTCAGTAGAACCACCTGCTTTCACTGCCTGAGCCAGAGCTAGCCTCTCCCCAAAACTTGAATTAACATAAAACACTTATTGGTCTGTCCAGGATTTAACTGTTTACTATTTACTGTTTTACATTCAGATTTTTTAAAAGTAGATTGTAATTTGATGCTCAGTTTTGAGTTACTTAGTAGAAAAATAAGTGAGCAGCTGCCTAAGTGGGCATTTAAAAAGTCTTAGCATCTCAGACCTACAGGTGACTATCATGACATCTATCTGTGAGGTTCTGGCTGCAGGCGGTTTAAATGGGCAGTTGTTACTATCCACACTATTGAGCCAACATTACCTCCTACTAATTCCAACCGAATAAAAAACATGCTTCATAGACTCCTTAGTGAAATATTTTTTAAAAAACACAAAAGTAAAAACCAGTCCTTCAGGTCTTGGTGAAGAACTCGTGTGTGATACTAGAGGGTCCCCACATTTGTTATATGACAGCTAGAGAGGACACCGGGTGTTCAAGTTTCAACCTTGCCGTAAGTCCCTTCGGGAGGCCTGTAATGCTTGGGGAAAGCCTTCAGCTGCAGGGAATTAAACGCATATTTGCGACTTCCAACATTCTTCATTGTATTTTCTCTTCGACAACCCTCACTGGGGAAAAAAACAAGCACAAGAAATGACAGCAGTAAAAAAGGAAAAAAAGAAAAGACTTAAACTAAGATGAAATGAACTGATTATTTTTATAGCATTAAAAAAAAGGTTAATTTAAATGGGTGCCAGACTATTTGCAACAATACACACGTAAGATGGTTTCTGAACAAGGCAGTTAAGAAGCACAGCGATGGGCGCGTGTGTGGGGCTGAGTTTTGCATTTGCGAAAGCAGCACTGTAAGTGGAAGCAAACGTTTTTTAAAGTTAATGGTTTCATGTGTTTCACGTCTAGGTATTGCATGGTTCTATGGTGGTTCAAAGATTCTGTTACATAACAAATTAAATGTAAAAGAAGTAGTGCGACTCTTACCAAAGCCTTGAAGAAGTTGCATCTTTCTATGTTAGCAAAGCCACGTGGCTGAGAAGGCTGGTCTACCCGGCTGTCCCCCAAGTGCAAAGCCTTCAGTCCAGTGGGCCCAGGTGACGGCTGCCCGGAGGGTCTGAATGGCTATCGGGGCTGGAGTGTCGTGAAGGAGGGACCCCACCACGCTCCCTGGTGGTAGCCGGCCACCTTCTCCAGGTGGGCTGCCCTCAGGGTGGCCACCTTTCAGAAGAGCCAGTGAGAGCCCACAGGTGCCCTTTCATAGAGAAATGGTGCTGCATTTGGTGGGGGGTTGTCATGGTAACCCAGTGTGCAAAGCAAATGCAGAGCAAGAGGATGAGGTGCGCAGGCAGGCCTCATGGTCCCGAAGGACAGCATCGGGGGAGTTCTCTGGAAAGTGTGCATCAAATTCACAGGTAAAAGCAATTCTGAATATAAATGACTTTCTATTGCATGGTCTAACTACTTTGATATTTTCTAAGACTAGCAATTAAATCAACTAGTTATCAAATTTAGTACAAAACTCCCTCCAATGAGATGTAAAATTTGCAGTTACCAAGAAACAGTCATTTAAAAAAAATATTTCCAATCGTATCAACACCATTATATCATGCATTTTAAAAAAGATGTTATTGGAAAGTGCTTGAGCCTTTTAAAGTGAAAATGACATTCTCATTTTCAAGAACATGTGAAATATTTTGGGTGAGACTGTAATTTTATGCAGAAGCCTGGGTATTTCAGAAAAGTAGTCCCCTGCTTGTGATTAAGTAACTTAGTAACTCAAACATGCTTCCCTGGCCCCAGAGCCTTTAGGCCTCAGTGAGGTGTCACGGGCGTCCCAGGAGGCCCTAGAGGAAACGATGGCCGTGTTTGTCTACGTCCAATAATCAGGTAAGATTTAATTCCATTTCAACAGAAGCTTCAAGTTCTATGCCCACATAGTCTCCATCCTTAGCGCTGCTGCAGAGGCAGGAGAGGCTCCCTCCACCTCTGAGCTCGCCAGCCCTGAGCCTGGCTTCTGGCTGAGTGGCGCTCCCCCTGTGGGAGCACACTGACCACCAAGGGGCAGCTCCTGCGTTGAGTGTCTGCCCCCTGGTGGTCAGTGGACATCATAGCGACCGGTCATTCTGCCGTTCAGTCGATTTGCATATTAGCCTTTTATTATACAGGATATTCATACTTCTCAGAAGCCATCCATCAGAATCAATGCCAAATTGCTTTGAAGGAGCAAAGAATAATTTGGGAACTTTGACATTATCTTTTATTTATATGTTAAAGATGCTAATTACTGGCTTAACTGGCTGAATGGATTATACCATAAACTTTTGGAGGACATCCATTTTAAATGAAAAATCAGAATGGAACGGAGACACAGCTCTGGTCTCCCCTCCCGTGGGCTCTACCTCTCAGAACGCAGCGGATGCCTCAGTGTCTCAGGGACCTGACATCGCCAGTGGTCAGGCCTCAGCGCTCGCCTCACCTCAGAAGCAACCTGGAAACCAGCACCAAGCCTCAGCAATGCCCCTTTCCTGAACTACCTTCCCTTTTGTTTCATCCTGCCTACTTCTCACTAAAGCAGGAGAGATCTGGATAGATATTTAGCCTGATTTCATGAGTAAAAGGCCTTCATGAGATTAAAACTCAGCATGAAGGGTGGGCACACTGAGTCTCTTTTCTCAGCTATTCTCCCAAAAACCAACAGGCCACAGCCTAGGCTGATGGTGTCCTCCCTCATGCTGGCCCTCTCCCCCTACCATCCCCATCCTCCACCTAATGCCCAACCCACTGCAGCAGGAAGCAGCCCAGAACCCCACCCACCTCCAGGCTTCTGCTGCTGGCATGGCCCTCCTGCCGTGCGGTGGGCCCCAGGGAGTCAATGGAGTCAGGCGGATCAAGGAGGCCCAGGGAAGAGGAGGGCAGGCTGTCTATAGTCAGAGGTGAGCACCAGGGCACGTCACCCCAGGGCATGGGGATCTCTCCCCAGAGCCGTGCCTGGGGCTGTGTGTGGGCTCTACTTTCCCGCCTCCACATAAAGTGAACATGAGTCCTGTACACCACAAGCAGGAGAGCAAGTGGGCAAGGTCCTTCTCAAAGACTCAGACCCTGGGGACCAGGGTCACGTGCCCAGCCACTCCCTGGGCACTTGGAGACCCCCTGAGGGAGGCAGGAACTGTGCCACAGCACGGCCACCCATTTGTTCCAAAAAAGGCAGTGTGACCCCTGCCCTCGCCTCAGGGTGCCCCTGCCCCGGAGCTGCCACAGGGCTCCAGGCCTGGGAAAGGGTGCGCAGGCCTGTGAGGAGAACGTCTCCCACGGTTCGTGAATCCAAGTCTCCATCTGCATTCGTTACTCGCTGCTAACTGCCTCTGCGACTCCTGGGACCCAGATGCAGGTCTGATGCCCAAACAGAGAACCCCCAGGATAAGTTCTGGAAGTCTGGGAGGCGGAATGGAGAGGCCAGATTCTGTGGGGACTGGGTTTGTGTGCATGTGTGAGAGCCAAGTTTCTGGAAAAGCCAGCTTCTCTAAATTCACTCGTTTTTCTAGAATGGTAAAAAAACCAAAAAACATTTTCATAAAAGACAGTGTGTGGAGCCAGCCAGAGGTCAAAACCAGATCACAACACCATCTGAGCTGGAAGACAGAGCCGCTGGGCATTCCTCCTGCAGGGCCTGTGGAACGCTCCCCAGTTCCTCTGTCACCATCACGGGTGTACAGCTCCTTCTGCCAAATGCGGATGTTAAGTCACCCCAGCTATGGACAGGGCCTTCTTAAAATTAGGAGCGATTAATAGCAGAGACCAAAGTAACTCCTCTAGCTCACAGCTCCATCTGGCACAACTGCCCAACAGGCAAGCCTCATTTTTGGGTCATTTTTCTTTGACATTTGGTTTTTTCATTATTAACTACATTTGATTTCTGGAGAGAAAAGATGTCTGGACTTTCATCCAAATTCAAAGCTCTTTAAAATGAAGAATGCTACTTCAAGAAAAATAAACATGTATAACTTTAACAGCCTTTCATTACTCTATGCATTAATTCCCGTAATCGCTTTAACGGTCCTTAAGGATGTAGAAGAGTACATCGAAAGCCACATGCGATGTTATTTTATGTGCCTCACTTGGTACAATGTGCTACTGTGTTCACAGCTTCTGTCATCTCACACTGGAAATAATAAACATGAGCAAGGAAATGTGATGATTCTGCAAACTGTTTGCTGCTGTAACTGAAGGGACTGTGCTTTGAAATGAAAGCAGGAAGGCCAGGTCCTATCAAAGAGGCTCACACAGCGGAGCCCGTTACAAAGCATCTGCCGTCCTCATTTCTCTTCAGAAGGAAAGGGAAGGTCAGCGCACATTTAAGGAATAGTATCAAATATACAAACTCTTTTCAGACAGAATTCCTTTCTCTTGGAAACAGGGCATGTGAGAGATACAGGTAACAAATAGCTTTACATCAGAAAGTAAGAGATTAGGTACAAGTGATTCCAGGCCAGCTACACAATGCAGTCACAGGGCACTGTGAGAACATGTTACAAGCACTGAAAACTATAGAATTTGAACAAACAAGTCCTCTTGGTGAAATATTCGGCAGGTATTTACAGTTCAAAACAACAAATGGCAAACGGTAAGGCATGAAATCTCTCTCGGCAGACCACGCTCTGACACATCCCTCTGTCCAGGTAGGTGCCCGGTGGTGGGACACACTCTGGCACTTGTGTTTTCTTGCGACTAATTTTTCATAATGTCATTCATTTGCAACGCAATTTGGCCACCAGGTAAGCTATGCTCAGAAAGAGCCACACAATCAGTAAATTGGGGCTCAGTGCTAACAGCGGGATGGAACAGAGGAGGCTGGGGTCTAGTCTTAAGTCTCGGATGGGCACCAGGCCGCTCAAGTTCTTCTGGGTGACTACCTCCCGTGTTCCAATGCTGTGAAAAGGAAAGGGTTTGGGAGAAAGGAAAAGAAAAAGGAAAAAGAAATAAGGAAAAAAGAGAGAGACATGCAATGGATTTTATCAAAATTATGGGAAAAAGAGAACCAAAAGATAAAATTTTTAAAAAAGGGATGAAACCACAACAGAAAAGGGTGTGAAAGGAATACCAAAACAAAACCAGCACAGTTACAAGAAAAAGGAGAGAAAGAGAAGTGGAAATAAGAAAAAGTACTGTAGTCTACCGAACACACACACGTAGGCGGGCGGAATGGTTTTCCATGTTCACGCTCTCAGCTGCCCACGCACATGCGGCCTGCCATGCGCTCACATGCTGCGAAGACACGGACCTCAAATAGCAAGCTGAGCATGAAGAACCATTGGGTGACCTTCCCACAGGTGCCTGAGCGGGCGGGGCAGCTGAGCTTGCCCACACTGCCTCTTGATGAGCGGGTCAAACAAAGACCACTTACCTCAACTGTCAACCGCAGGCGGGGCCCCCGCCAGTCAGGCTGAGCAGTGGCAGGCAAGCGCTACTAGTGGCTCCAGCTTTTCAAGTTATTGTCCCCAAGAATGGCATCCCACCCAGCTTCCCTGGAAATGTGGGTTCCCCGCTTTGGGTGCTCCAGGAGAAATGCCTGAGGTGAGAGGCAGCCAGAACCACAGGACTCTGGGACCAAGTGCCCTATGCATGGCCACCAAGAGTGACAGTGACAGAGCCCATGGGCTGGGACACAGTGGCGGCCCTGAGGACCCACTGGGAGAGGGGCGGGCCAGACGTCCTGGGCTTGCCCAGAGGAAGCGGAAGCCTGGCTGGTCCTGCTGGGAAGTGCTGCTCTAACAGGGACACTTTTGGGGCTGCGGGCACTCGAGGACGGTCCCCCAGCCCAGGCAGTCGGGGCATCTCTGTGGCTACGTAGGAAGGCCCACTCTGAGGGCTGCAGTGGGGCTGGAGGCAGAGGGACCAGCACAATGTACACATCTCTCCCCACCGCCTGGCCCAAGGCGTCCCCCGATAGCTTGAATATTTATGCCCCCCAATTTGGCAAATTTTGAGAGAGCTGGCTGTTCACATTTGGTAGCATGGCACTGCCACTGCCCACCCTGGGCCTCCAGGAGGAGGTGCCTGAGCCTCAGCTCTGTCCCTCACACCGCCCACTCCCCACCGCCCACGCCTGGCCTGCACGCTGTCCTCTCCCACCTGGTCCAATACAAGGGAGAAAGCAGGAGACCCGAAACCCACTCCTTCACTCGGGAGCATGGCCACTGCTGCCTGCTGCCTGTGCAGGGCTCTCTGCTGAACCCAGGCCTGGCCACCACTGTAGCCAGAAATAGTGGCTGAGGACACAGTCCCCTTGGGCTGGTAGTGCGCACACACATCTTCCCACCGGATCAAGCAGACACGGAAGCCACCTTAAAGCAAATGCATGTGGCCAGAGCCTGAGGTGCCACCAGGTCAGGTGGACAGGCAGCAGGTGCTGGTGCTGAGGATTCTGGGGTGAGCGGAGGCAAAGCGGGATGGAATTTTGTTTCTACTAACTTCTTAAATGATTATTACGGTAATATATATGTTCACTGTAGAGATGTCAGAAAATTCAGAGAAACATAACAAGAAACTTTAAGAAGACAAACATCATTGGAGGTGGGTGGGGTCTGAGAGAGGCAGGGAGGCCAGGGAATGGTGCCTGTCCCTCAGGAGGCCTTCCCTGCTCAGGACCTGGGGTCCTCACTGCAAGGAAAGAAAACAGGCCCAGAAGGGTGGCAGGAGTGGTAACACCCCCAGGGAGGGAGTCTGACTGGTGTGGCAAGTCTGTCAATTTGGCTTAAAGCCTTTCTAACCTAAGAAATCAGCAGGAAAAATGTGGCTGGGAAAACACAGAAGTATACTCACACATAATTTAAAGTGCTCAAACGGCCCTGGCAGTGTTGTTCAGTGGTTAGAGTCACATGCGTACTGAAGGGTTGTGGGTTTGATTTCTGGTCAAGGGCACATACCTGGGCTGCAGGTTAGATTCCTGGTCCTGGTGGGGGTGTGTGGGGGAGGCAACCAGCAATGTGTCTCTGACATCAATGTTTCTCTTTCTCTCCCCGCCCCCTTTTACTCTCTAAAAATCAATGGAAAAAATACCCTTAGATGAAGATTAACAAAAAATAAGTAAAATAAAGTGCTCAAAACCATACACAGCTTAAATAGTCCATGACCTCATCAATTGGGTAAATTATGCTATGCTAAAAATGACAAGGTCTATATTTATTTACCTGAAAAATGCTCACAAGGGAGTTAAATGAAAAAAGCAGGCTAAGCCCAACTGGCGTGGCTCAGTGGCTGAGTGTCCACCTATGAACAGGAGGTCATGGTTCAATTCCCGGTAAGGGCACATGCCTGGGTTGTCGTCTCGAGCCCCAGTGTGGGGCGTGCAGGAGGCAGCCGATCAATGATTCTCTCTCATCATTGATGTTTCTGTCTCTCTCTCCCTCTCCCTCTCCCTTCCTCTCTGAAATCAATAAAAATATTTAAAAATAATAATAAACAGCAGGCTAAAACAAAAGGTAGAATTGCACATATAATTGTATTTGTGTGTTTTGTTTTCTGTATTATTTAGGGGCTGGTTAGCCAATGTGTGAATTAACTACACTTACACCTGTATGTATGCATGCAGGTATGTAGGTAGGTATGTATGTAGGTAGGTATGTATGAAAGAACTAGAGGCCCGGTGCACAAAAATTTGTGCATTTGGGGGGGGGGTGCTCAGCCCGGCCTGTGCCCTCTTGCAGTCTGGGACCCGTCGGGGGATGTCCACCTGCTGGCTTAGGCCCGCTCCCCGGGGGATCGGGCCTAAGCTGGCAGTCAGACATCCCTCTGGCAGCCTGGGAGCCCTCGGGGGATGTCCATTTGCCAGCAGGGAGCAGGCCTAAGCTGCAGTCAGACATCCTTAGCGCTGCTGAGGAGGCGGGAGAGGCTCCCACCACCACTGCTGTACTGGCAGCCGTCAGCCTGGCTTGTGGCTGAGCAGAGCTCCCCCTGTGGGAGCACACTGAACACCAGGGGGCAGCTCCTGCATTGAGTGTCTGCCCCCTGGTGGTCAGTGTGTGTCACAGTGAACAGTCATTCCCAGTCATTCTGCTGTTTAAACGATTTGTTATTAACTTTTTTTTTATAGAAAGTCTGGGCC